TATGTTCACATTTTACAAGCAGTTCGCAAAGCAGTGCATGCGGATAAAACTATTTTGAAATTGTAACCGAAGGAGAGAGAAACCATGAATTACAAATATGTATATACATATATACTATTTATTGGATCGGCATGACAAGGCGACTTAATAAAGGTGTGGCCTCTGCCAAACGTGGCATGTAGACCCGCAGAATTAGTTCCCAGGCCACGCGAGTTCAGATAATTCGTCAAAACTGTTCAAAATTCGGACAATTTGTTCTTTTTCAACATATTTTTGCTTCATAAGCGGACAGATTTGTATTTTACGACCGGCCTAGTTCGTTTATACAACTCGCTCAGGTTGCTGCTATACCCCTCTAAGAAAAGTAGGAAGGATCCCAAAACACCTAAAACATTTACAAGTATGTTCATTAATAGATCACAATACGGTTAAAGGTTTCTTACAATGACTCAGCAGGTATGAAGTTTCATTGAAATCAGTCAACCAAATTATATATATATATATATGTAGGTGCTTATACTCAATAATTTTATGAAGATTGAAGAAGATAGAATCGATCTTGTCCGATAAACACCTCATTTTCTTACAGTCTTTCCGTATATAAAGCATAGAGTTTCGTAATAAATTGTTTTCTCTTTTTAAAACTCCACGTAAGAATAAAAGCGTATTCACCAGGTGGCAGGAGAAGTGTAATTTTTTCGGGGTTTACGTAAAAGTTCTGGACCAGTTGTGTGCCCTATAATGCAAAAATAACTCGTATAAGTACAAATATCGAACAGATGGCGTACTTGAAGGATCAATCCATTTACATACCACGTATGGACAAGTATGATTTATCGTAGAGAATTCCCTGATGTGCTTAAGAAACAAATTTAGGTAGGGATGGTTGTGCTTCATCACCAAATCGCAAGCATCTACTGTGTAGTCTATTATCCATGGTTTGTAGCCATTTGCTTTCTTCAGGATTTGAAACCGTATGCTTATGTCGTTCGCGGGATGCAGGAAGGTCACGTTTAAATTGAAATGGACCACATACCGACTGACAGCCTTCAGTCGACAATACTCGATCCTGACCCAGGACTCGTTGTACGACTCGCACACAGTATTGGTCCATTTGTAGAAGGCTCCATGCTGCACATATAAACAAATATTAAATTAATATCGCATTTAAATATTGCGTGTTCTTCCGATTACATTTTCCCGATGCTGAAGTAGTAGAACCAACAAAGATAATCCAAAAGTGTGAAGCGCTCTGCACATGATGAACAAGAAAGTTTCAGTTTTATCCGCCGATTCGTGGCTTATATAATTTTAGCTGGGTTGGAAGCGATGCATTTACTATTAACATTGTGAGCTATTTGTTGTGATTATCAGTTCCTGTTATTAGTTCTGGTCGAACTACCTTTGTTCATTAATAACAAATCACATTTTTCAAATAAGCCCGTATTCAATGATGCAGCAATACAACTGTTTCACATTTAGTATAGTTATTGATTAGATATGACTAGATATGACCAATTAATCGGCCATTAGTAAATGGTTGACAATCATGTTTAACTTCAGCTTCCTGGCCCTAAGAATGCGGCTGAAAGCCATTTGCTTTTGGTTAACTGAACAATTTGTGTAAAGAGATTAATACTAACAATTAAATGTCCTATAAAATGAAGAATTTATTGAACAAGAAAAAAAACTTGCTTGATATTCTATCTATCTATCTCCTATAAAAAATAAGGAAAACGCCTCAAATATGATATACTGAATGAAATGGATTTATGAAACAAATAATATAAGTTAAAATCATTAATTTATGTAATGAAAGGAATTCTTGGTAAAGTTCAAGTGGTTCGTAGGGAATTTTCAAATTTTCGATATACTTCTAAAATTATCCAACCTGTTTAAAAATTTATGATGGTCAGTCAACTAAGATCAAGGTTCCTATAATGCATTGCAATTTATGATTCAGAAATAGCTGACAAATTCTGTCAGAGTGTTAAATTGCAGAGAGGGAAATAAATATTTTGTGGGATATAACATTTGTACTTTTCATGTCAAGAATATATATATACTATATACTTCAATTATGTTTGAAAGCACTGTATTGAGGGATATTTAATTAAAATGAGATTGCAAATTATTCTTATCGACATCGTGTGTGAGTCTTTAGCTCTCGATTCTGCAATATGCAATCACATAATAATCGCTTTTAACGATCCAGAACCTTAGCTGATCCTCATTTGATTAAGAATAACTCACTTTTTTAAGAGGAACACAGGCATATAGCAGGGCCATGAGGTAGGACGATATAAGCACAGTGTAGCTTAAGAACTAAAGGAGTTTCCTGACATATGTATGGACACGCTCAGCGGGGCAAACAATTAGTTACAAATATCACTCATCTAGCGCTGTCACCCACCTGCAAGAATTGGATAAGAATTCCAGAAAAAATGAAACTTGAAGCGCCTCAGCACATTCGTAACAAAGACACCAACACACACATACGAGTTCTGGACACAGGACTTACACATGCTGCCTTCAAATTCATTTTAATTCGTTTTTATTTCTTTTTAATTTTTATTACATTTTCGTATATTAGCTTTGACTTGCCTTAGTTGTATCCACTTTGAATTATTTGCTGTTTGTTTTCCGCGTTCGCCGGCCAAACAAAAAAATGTGTGTATATATGTATGTATGGACGAGTATATAGTGTATGTGGGTAGCTGTAGCTTTTTCGCTGGTGTCCTCTCGGTTGGACTTCTCTCCGTTACGTTCATGCCTGCGGCTCATGGCCCGTGGTCCGTGGTCCGTGGCCCGTTTTGTAGTTATTGTCCAACGTTGACTGTTTACGCCAAATGCACGCCGCGGAGTAGGAAATTAAAAATGGCGAAATAAAGTTAAATTTTTTATGGCTTGCGCAAATAAGTCACATGTTTGTTGTCCGGACGCTGGTCCACAGCTGGACGAATGCGGCAGCGCTCCTCTTAAGGATGAAAATAATATTAGCATTAAGCGTTTGTCTGCGCGCCTGACTGTCGCGGTACCTCCACACCCTTCGCTCCAGCTGCCCAACGCCATTGTATGGGTTTTATTTATTTTACAAAATGGGCGACAAACTTGCCGTCATGTAGTTTTTTTTTTTTGTGTCTTATTTGTTTATCATCTGCGCCATGTGTGGCGCCCGACAGCACGGAGCACATCCAATTAAGCAGCGCTTCTAAAGAGTAGCAGAAATTTGCAGGCGTGGCTTTAAGTCTAAAGTTATATTTAAATATTATATTATTTTATTTTATTTCATTTTGGGAGTACCCTTAGAGAGAGAAGACTAAGAGATTCAAAAATATTAAGTTAAGCTTTTTCTGAATCCTTCTAAGGACCTCGGTCAGAAGTTGGAGAGATTAACGCAGGGACCGTTCGAATTCCACAGCTCTATTAGCTCTGTTCTCAAACCGATATCTACAAGTATAATGCTTATAAATACAAGTAATTCTGATAGCTTCGTTTAGATTTTATGAAAATGTGTACGACAATCTGGGAAAAAGCATAGCAAATGTTTAGAAAAACAACATCTTCTTGTATAATTGGAATAAAAACTATGTAAAGACCTTAATCTTTAACGATCATCTTGTTCGCTCTTCTCATCCAATCTTTCCATCTGTATTCCCTGCCAGCTTTCAGCTTTATGTCGAAAAGAGACTTGCATCCAAACCTACCCCAATATGTGGCAGCTTAAACACTTAAGCCAGGTATCTACTTGTATTTAAAAATCTGTGAAACCAGTTTGGACCGAACAAAAGGCTGACCCACTTGCACTTTCTTTCAATTAGCCGCAGCAAGAGTGCTTGGTGCTATCTTTGCTACCTGCCACCACTTTAAGACCCTAATTAACACATATTTAAAGCAAGCCGCATGTGGGTGTCTGCTCTCGATGCTGGCAACGGCTTTTCATGTCGTCGCTGGTCGTTTCACTTTCAATTACACTATGCAGCACTGTCTTCCGTCCACTTTCGGTTCCAAATCGAAAATGGATCTATAAATTATAGTTCATTAATTAGCCAGGTTTGCATTTTTGTTAAACTTGGTATAATTTTGAAATCCAACGATGAGAAATAGAATTGATTGCATAATAAAAGCTGGAAGAAATTGTAAAATAAATATTCTTTTGCTGATTACGATGCTTACATTAAATTTGAAGTATGTACACATTTATTTGAATAATAAAAATGCTCTTCCTAAAATCGATTAAAGACACATAATACAGTGAAAACTCTCTTGGACGGACACTTAGGGTCGGCCAATTTTTGTTCGCCCAGGTGGAGTGTCCGCTTAAGGAGATACTTAAATACTTTATACACCGATCGAATGTTTTAGAAAAAGTGTCCGCCGCAGAGAGTGTCCGGATAAAAGAGGTGTCCATGCAGGGAGTTTTCACTGTATACTTCTAAGTATAGTAAAGAACACAATTGCTGTAGTTCCTTAAGGAGAAATCGTTATTTTAAAAAGCAACCTATTTATTTGCCATTCTTCAATTTACATTCCAATAGAAGCTATCTAAAAATGTCAATTTGCCTGTTTTATGCGATATTTGATATACATATAGTATGTGTGTGCGATTTCCAATCACTGATCTCTCTCTCTCTCTCTCTCTCATCCTTATACATTGTATTGGTATTTATGTAAATGGAGAATATGTTGATTCGTTTCAAATTTCAATAGCTTTAAAGAAGGGAAGTATTCCCAGAAATTTCTCCAGAACCACGGACATAATGTTGGATTGATTTTTACATTTCAACAGTTAACAGATAGTTATGCCACTATGGTTTCTCAGATTTGTTGTCTAGTTTCGTTGTACGCCCTTGCGTGACTTGCGCTGTCAATGCCTGTTGCCAGATGTGTTGAGAAGGTGTCGGCAGTCCACATGCCGGCGCAGATTCTTAAGCTCGTGGCGTCCGTGCGGCACGCTCAGTGCGTCCGCGATCGTTGCTGGGCTTGCTTCGTGACCGACCATGTGGCTTCTGTGGTTTCTGCTCATTGTCGAGCTGCACTGTGGACTCGCGCTGTACGAGCAATGCAACCATCAGATGGAGCTGCGGCCTGGCCAGAAAGTGTACATTAACTCCCCTTATTATCCGGGTGAGTACCCAGCGGGCACTTCCTGCCGCTATACGGTGAAAGCGCCAACGGATTATGTGCTCAGCTTCAAGTGCGAGCTGCAGCTGAGAACGGTGAGTGGAGTAGGGAATGATATGAATGGAGTATGGAAGCTAGAGGATTTGTGTGCTTTGTCCACAGGCCGTGACGGACACAAATTGTGAAAAGGAGGTGTTTCACTTCAATGCCGAGGGTGACGAGTTGCTGACGCGTTCCGAGTTTTTTTGCGGCAGCGGCAAAGTCGAGCGTCAAAGTTTTCTGAATCGCGCTGTGATTTCCTATATTTCACAGCGTGGTGTGCTCCCAAAGTTCAGGGATAAGCTCAAGGCACAATTCAGCATCAGCAGCAACAGCAACAGCACTACCTCAACAACAACAACAACAACAACAACTCCAGCACCTCTGACTGAGTCTGAGAGTTTAACGGACTCGGTGCTGCACGTGCTGGAGGATGTGGGCGTAAGTGACGCCTTGGCTTATATGGCTGCGCTACTTTATAACGAACCAGATGCTGGTGCTCAGTCTCAGGCAATTGCGAGCACAACTTACTTGGAACAATTGCCCAACAGCTACGCATGGCGTCCGGCAAAAAGTGCCGTGGCTTCCGTTAAACGTGCCAAGATTGTGACTTCCTTAGTTGGCTATCCAGCGGGTGTGCCCGGAGGTGGTCGCTTCACCTGCTTGGTTGAGGCGCTGGCGCCCATCTGCGAGTGCGGCTGGAGCATGACGCTGAAAATTGCCAGTCCTGTGGACAGTGAGGCGGCCCTCAATGAGTTCCCATCCATGGCAGGTGTGCTGACTAAGCGGCAGGGCAAGATCTTTTGTGGAGCCGCCATAAGTAAGTGATTGATTCAAATTGTAGGAATTCTGCCAGTTCATGAGTAAAGAAAGCAAAACGCGTTGCTTAAAATCGAGGCTGTCGAGTCCCAAGTATAGATGAAGGTCAGATTCGAGAGATTAGAGTTGGTTGGTTTGGTTTGGTTTGGTCAGACAGGCAAATAGTTTGTGCAATTTTCTGCCTATGTTATGATTATGTTATACTGCAGCTTAAATTACGTTTCTGAAACACATGTTTCTTTATTAGAAACCGATTAAAGTAGTGATTTTTAATACAATTTTTGGCCAAACAAACTATTGAAGTTGTGTTCACATTTGTCGAATTTCAGAATTTCAATTAAAACCAATACGAATTCTATGTTAAACTATAAGGTTTTGCTTCAAAAAACCAGTTTCAAAATATGTGTGAGGTACTTGTATTTATAAATTCCTATTATATGCCACAGCTTAAACAATTTACGCTTAGGCTAGTAGACTAAGTTCCTTGAGTGAACTATAGTTTAAACTTTTCTTCAAATGCTTGCCTATGTCTACATACATGTATGTGTCGCAGTAGAATCGATTCTTCTAGTTGAAGTTCTCAGGAAGGAGTGTAGGAATACAAAAGTCGGTTCTAAGCATTAATTTGTAATGTTTTAAGCAGTTTAGAAGCTGGGAAATGTTGTGTTGTGTTAAAATGTGACCTGCTATGTAACTGGACTTCATTGGAGCTAAAACATGGTTGCCAATCAACATAACCCACATCCCTTATTCATCGCCATTCCTCATACATTCATCCAAATAATGAGCCCGCACTTAATGCAAATGGAATTTGTTGCTCTTCCACACAGTACACCAGCGGTATTTGATTTCCGGAGCGCATTGTTTTCTCACCCCTGAGACGGGCAGCGCCTCCTTGTTGCGTGTGGTTGTGGGCGAGCACGATTTGTCCAGCCTTTACGAATCTCTGTATACACAACACTATGACCTGGACGCTCTGATTCCACATGAGAAATTCAGTCGCACCAATGGCCAGATACGGAATGATATAGCGCTGTTGCGCACCCGCTTGCCCATGATCTGGAGTCGGAGTGTAGGCCCAGCTTGTCTGCCACTGCGTCCAGTGGACGGCAAGAAGCTGCCCCATGTGGGGCAACAGGTGGTAGCAGCCGGCTGGGGAACCACCTCGTTTGGTGGTCCACAATCTCAGCGGTTGTTGAAGACCACGCTTGATGTCATCGACGTCGCCCAGTGTCGTCGTTTGTTGGGCGCGCCGGCACACACCTTCTGCACATACACCCCAGGCAAGGACACCTGCCAGTACGACTCTGGGGGGGCTCTGTATGAGCGCAGCAGTGGACGCCTCGTGGCAGTGGGAATTGTTAGCTATGGCTATGCGTGCGCCACAGAACAGCCTTCAGTCAATACACGCGTGGCTTCTTTTGTGAAATGGATTCGCGCCAAGACTCCCGAGGTGAAGTATTGTGTGAGATGAAGGCCTGTACAGGATCCATGGTGGCTCGACAATACGTAATAGACGTGATAACAACAAGAGAGAATTAATAAACCGATAGCAGCTTGACTTGGTCTCGCAAATCACTTCTTTTTACGACTAACCGATTTGACAATTACAAATAAATGACAAGGATAACGTTTCTGCAACGAAAAAATGGGGTGGGAATTAAAAAAAAAAACAAATTCGTTTTGCTTACGGATTTGAACGGGCTCAGTCTTGTAAAATGTATCGGGTCGGAGGGATTTGTAATTACATAATTACATAATTTTTACCTTCTGCAAAGCTTTGGGTAACATATCATTATCAAAATCATAAAAACGGTGGGAATTGAAAAGAAATGAAGTGGCTGAGAAGTGCATTTTTAGTTTCTTCTCTTCCAGGTAACGCTAACAGAATCTTACTCCGGATTTCAACAAAGCGTTGTCAAAATATTTGTATTCACAGAGTGCTTTTATTTAAAACTATCTATCGTGGACAATCATTGTTAAATCATCATCATCAATCAATCATCAATCATGGTTAAATAAACTTGACTTGATTTATTTCATTTATTAAATATGAACTCCAAATATTGTTAGCTGTTTATATGAAGAATTAAAAAGTAAAAAGGTTCTTTTTCAAAGAGAAGTGCGCTAGAAGTGCGTTTAAATTTCGCACTCTTCCAGGCAGCTTGTCATCTTCCATATTCCATCCAAGCCATGTCAAAGTGCGGGAAGTACGAGTATATGATTGAAGTAGATAAGCATAAAGTTGTGGAAAGCCTCAGAACTAGGCTAGGCATAAGAACATGCCATTTTTCAAAATGTTGTTCAATCAGCTAGTTGTCATACATACTTGTAGATAAATACATAAGTACATACGATTGGTGTAAATTTCTTCACTTCGCTTGAACACTTCGCATGCCGAGCTATTCATGCAGGCACTCATCAATCATTCATGTAAATCTTAACGCCTCAATTGAGCTCAATGCCTGCTGCACATTGCAATTAAGCGCAAATGTCAACTAATTAACAACACAGGGATGGCATGGACTGCACAGGCTGTGCTGGCCACGTTGGCTGCCATTGAAACTGGAGTCCTTGCCAAAGCCAAAGCCAAAGCCGAATCCGCAGCCCAAACCCAACCGTTTCGACTGTCAATGCGAAAGATCTTCAATGTTGTTTAGCAGCTCTTTTTTTTGTATGTTTCTTTTTGCTTTTGTTTGGTGGGCTCGTTTGTTTTGATTTGTTTGCATTTGGCTGATGCTGTCGTCTTCTTTTCAAATAAATAATTAAACGTTTTGGCATAACATATGAACATTGCTTTTAGGCTTAAAGGTAACAAAAATCGCAAGCACTGTGTAGTCTGCCTGGCTGCCTGACTGCCTGACTGGCTGACTGGCATCGTCGTTATCGTCGCCCCCGCCATATACTAGTATGGTACGTTGGTGGTTGGAGGTTTTGTATGGAGAGGTTTTGTCTAATGTTCGTTGCATTTTTTCAATGCACACCCGCACTCTCCACGCAGACTCCGATGTCTGCAACAACTAAGCCGCCTGCATTTTTCTTTTGCCTGCATTTAGGCGCTGTTGCAATGTATTGGCTGTGTCCTTTTCTCTACTGCTCCTGCTCCTGACTATGTTGCCATGTGTGTTGGTTGCATGTGTTTGTTTGCTTTTTTTTTAGTCGGTACATGTCTGTGCCTTGCAAGCCTGTTGTTCAATTTACGTTTGTGCCGCATCAACTGCAGCAGGCATCAAGTGTTGTGGCGCGCTTTTAGGCACATGCCGCGCCCATGGGTGTGGCAAAATGTGCTCTGGCACTAATTGAAAAGCAGCAACAGCAACAGCAACAGCACTAGGAATAGCCACTACCTGCAGTTTTCAATTAATAAGAAAGCAAGCCCAATGCCTCTATCCATCCATCTCGCTCTTCTATGCTGCACTTGATTACAAAAAAGTGAAATAAAAACTAAAAAATAGAGCGGCGGCAGCGTTGGCGTAATGCGCGCCTAAACATCGACGCTTAGTTCTCGTTTTGGAAATGTAAAAAGCATGCATTCAACTCCCAGCTAACAAGCTTAAAAGGCAATTTGGTAAACGGAAGCAGAAATTGCTAAAAAATATTGACGCTACTGCTCATGCAATTGACGTTTTCGATCGCGCACGGGGCGTTCGTAACCTAACACCCTTTATGGCGCAAAAGCTGGCCAATTGTCTTGAAAAAAAATCGCAAAAAGCATACGGGTTTGTAGTTTAGGCTTTTTTTTCCACTCTGCAATATTTTCCATACAATTTCTCGTGGTCAAAAATTAGCGAAACAGACCTTTATCAGTAGGCAACACATTCTAGTTGTATTTTGTGTTCACATTTCAAAATTCAGGAAAAAGCACACACATGTACACTTCACACTTCACCGAAAACATTTAGAGCAGTCCAAATTTACAGTTTTCATAATAAAAATCTGCGCTTGCAACAAAAAATTCATTAGTGGCTGGTGCATTGGAATTCGATGGGGCTGCAGAGTTCGGTCCGTTTGGTGCACAAATTTAGGCAACTCATCAATCCGCCACATGCGTTTAAATTGCCGGATGAGAACCGACCGCCCCGACTTCTTATCAGAAGCTTTATTAATGTGCGTAACATGGAGGCGGCGAGAATGTTGCCGGTTCCCCGACATCTCCTAAACAGATTCGGATTAACGACCGAGCCGATATTTCGAACGTATCGCACCATTCGCGACGGACGACATCGCTGGATAGACTTTGAACGGGAAGCGGGCAACTCGTACTTCCGGAATTGATGCCACTTTGTCGCACTGTATCATGCAAGCTAGCTTTTGAGCATTGGCGGCTCTTTGGCTCAAGTCTGCTGGCGATGCCCAAAAGTTACGCTCGCATGGGTTTGAAGCGGTTTTCAAAAACAAGTTTTTATTAAATAAAAGGACTATGGTTTGTCAATTTTGTGCTTATTGCTATTCTAAGCTTCAATATCATAAATGTAATAATTAATTAGTTAACATAAATACATATAGGTTCCTGTGCCGTTTTTAAAAGTCTAGTAGGAACATTTACTAAGCGATAACTCCAGCATTTCCATTTTAAAATTAAGACCAATAAAGCCATTTGTTTTGTGCAAATCGAATTCGACAAGTTCACTTGAATTTATTGAATTCTTTTGTTTCTAGATATTTAAAAGCATTGCGGGATTTTCTATTCTAAAGAGCTCAACAGATCCATCCTTAATTGTTTGCAATATTGTGTATAAAGGTCAAATACTCTTTCTTTAAAACTCGAGCGAACGCTAGCAACGAAGACGATGCGTTGTTAGTTAACAGAAGAAACTTAACATTGGAATTATCAGTTGAGGCTTCACTCCAAGCGAAAAAATTGGAATTTTGACTCAATTGCAAATATTACTGAGTTTATTACTGGGGTTTTGCATCCTGCTTAGGTATACAAGGTCTTTTCTTTGTAGAGCTGCACAGTTTTTTGTGTCATAATTATAAAGTATCTGCGGTATAATTAAAAAGTGTCTGCGTAAAATGAAACATAAGCTTGCATTTCAATTACCAATCAGATCTTCTCATTTATGGGCGCAGGGTTATATCTTTATTGACTTTAACTTGATATATTCAATATTAATATTCGGTAAACATATCAATATAAAATTGCATTTCAGTTAAAGAAGTGTACCCATTGGTTTAAAATATATACTTTATTCGATATATAACAATTTAATCAGAGTCCCGCATAGACCCACAAAAAAAAAAAAAGATATTAAGAAAATTAATTTCGTAATAAAAAAGCTGTCAAATTTATTAATTCTTCATTTCTTATTTAATTTCTTTTCTAGTAGTTTTGGTTAAAAAATATAGGTACATTTTTTTTATACTTCAGCCAAATGTCAGTCGCCCTACTTCGGCTCAAAAAGCCTGTTATTATCAAAATACACTTTTACGCAGTGTACGTGTTGTATATTCTTTTTAATTTTTATTCAACGTTTCGGCCTATTGTTTGCCAACAAACACATCGCAGCTTTGGAGCCTCAGTTTTCAAAATTTGCGCACGCGTGGAAAAAAAGATATCCGGAATCTATTGCTTAATCACATGCCTACCATGCTTTCGACGGGACTACTAAGAACGACTATCATTGAAGCAACCAAATCACCGTTCGGCTCCAAGACTCGATTGCAGCATAATGAAGCGCACAGGTCTGGAGAGTCCCTAGACTCTCTAGGTAACCAACGCAAGCAAACTAAGTTGCAACAGTTCATTTATAGTCAGCGCGGTGAACAGAATCCCGAGTACCACCATGCACCGCGCTGCTATGTGAAGAACTTTATGAAGTACCAGAATGATCTGGAGAAGCATGGGCAAGAGTTGAGAGTAAACAGGATAATCCATTCAAACCCTCGATACCGTTGGGCCGACTTTCGCAGGCGCATGGTGTATGGAATATACGATATATAGAAGGTTTTCGCAGCTGACAAACCAAAGAAGAATTGTTAGCAGCACTGAAAGCATTCTATACATGATATAGAAATGAGAGAAAAATCAAACGATAGTGGAGAAAAAAAAAAAAAAAATGAAATTTAAACAAAATTCCAAGGGTCCAGAGCGGGAACAAGGTGCGAGCCAATATAATTTTGTCGGAAACTGAAATGAGATGCAGCTTTTGAAAACCGAAACTTGTATTGCTTAGCGGTTTGAAAACCGAAATATTGATTATTTTGCGGACTATCTCTGTCACAGCACTATTCTCACGGACACGCAGTGTGCTGCATTTCTAAAATCAAATCCCTGGTGGAAAGACTACAATAAATGAAAAATATATCTTTGAACTATCTGTATCTATGAATTTGTAGCCTAGCCTTAGAAGATGCCTTGATTAATGCTTAAAAGATTAAAGGTTGCTGTTCAAGAAAAGTCTGCGATTTGAATAAAACTCCATACAATTAGAATGTGGCAGAAGCTAAGAGCTAAGAGAAGATACTTCCCCCCAGAGGCAGTCGTGTGGGAAACCTACATATGTAACTGCTTATTGCCTCACAAAGGTAACTACTGGACGAAGAATCCTTGCGTACCCTTTACCATATTTTTCCATGCAAAGGTTTCTCTAAGCCTTTAGGCTAACTCTCGCCAGATGACGTTAAGGGGCAAAAGATGACTAACTATAGGATGGGTCGAACGATCACCACTTAGATCGAGTGCACCCCACAGGAAAGGACTCCCATATGGTGCACGACTAAACAGCATTTGTAGTTTTTACAAGTTCCATATGAACGATCGGTAAAAAATACTGGAAATTGGAAAGATGTTCGAACCGAAGTTCGTATTCATGAGCTTTTTATGTTGAAGTACTTCATAGTGTAGCTTCCAGTACAACAATTGGTGCATAAGGTTTATGTTCGTAAAAAGACTGTGCGCCACTTGAACGTTAAGCCTGTTTAGACTTTTAAGTCACTTACTTTGGTTTAGTCAGGAAAGGAAAAGGAAACACACACGAAAAAATTCAAATTCCAAATTTTAAGTTTTATTAAATTTTATTAACACCATGTTGGCCAATCAGCTGCGCAGCAGCTCTTTGCTCTGCCGTCGTTTTGCGACTTCGCCGCTTGCAGTACGCTTTTATCGCGTTCGTCCAACTTTCCTGCCCAGTTGCGAGTCCCGTCACCCGGAAACGCGTCGAAGCCAAGACGAGGTTTATGTGCATGACTTCTTGCAGCGTCATCAGCACATACATCCCGGCTCTGGTTCGGACATCAATTTGCGGAGGCGTATGCGTATAAAGTATGGCAGGGCTCTGACAAAGCATCCGCTGCACGAAGAGAATCGATGCTTCTCACACAAACATCGTTGGAACGAGTTCCGGCGTAAACTGGTCCTTGGAGCACATGCCACTTGAGTGGTTAGGCTAGAAGATGTTCTATAAGGGCGCCAGACATTCATTAATGAGTAGCTAGGTTTGGCGATTTCCAACCACCTCATTTGAAATACTAAAGATGTAGGTTGGAAGGAAGTCAATAGGCGTGCAACGGAAATGTGATTGCACAAATATTTTATGAATTTTATCGGAAATAATAATGTTCTGCTCTACAAGTATAGACCCTAAATATTTGCATTCCACTGACAACAATTTAATAAAAACTCCCACAAAATAATTAATATATACTTGTAGAACCAGTTGTTATTATTTTTTAGAGCGATGTCAGAACTGCTTTGTTTTTCTTCTTGATGTGTTGGCCTACCTGTTCTGGCCATTGTGTTTATTATCAGCCAAGTATTCTTATTCGTTTGCTACTTAACACGCAGGTTTGCTCTTCACAAACTAGCGACAATCTTTGGCATATTTTCATGTCCTTTCTTTCGAAAAAAGTAAAAAAAAAAGTGGCAAAGAGTGGTCCGCATACAAAACCGAGTGCACTCCAGTAATATGCTTCATAATTTTTATTGTCAACCCCATTTGGGTTGCCACTTGACAACAAAAGCTCACGAGCGCTTGGCATAAAAACAAACGCAAAGCAAAAGGCACAAAATGAAGTGCAAGCGGCAACAGCAGCAAAAACAACAACAACAACAACAACAACAGTTGGTGAATGCAACAAAGCGCACAACAGCATCAAGCACTTTTTTTTGTTTTTTGTAAAGTAGCATAAATTTTATAATATACAAGTAGAAAAAATCGATGTTAAAAAGGCGACGCGCACAGCAGTCGTCTGCAGAGCAAAGGATTAGGGTCCAGGCAGAAGGATATGGCTGGCTGCCTTGCCACCGACTCGTCGAGTGCTTGGCTGCCTGCTTGTTGGCCACTTCTCATTCAAAGCACCAAGTCCTTGGTGTCCCACTAGCGTACTCTGACCGCCCCCCGCAGTACAGTGGGGACGGGCCGCTGCCGACTCCTGTCTGTTTGTCTGCAATTAACTTGCAGGAAAATTCTGATTTCATTTCTCATTGTTATTGTTGTTGCCATTTCTAGTGTTTTCTGCGAGTTAATTTTGATGTACATACATTTTTTTCATGTTGTTGCAAATTTGCAATTCATTTTTTCCCTTTTTTATGTTCTGTGTGCCGCTTGGCACTTGTTGACGTAATTAGACGCGACAGAGGCTTTGATGTGCCTGGCCAAATTGGGCTAAGTACTTAGTAAGCAGAGCCGAGAGTCTGAGTGCGAGCACACTGTAGAGTTTGGGTGTCAAAGGGTTTTTAATTGTTTAATTACGTTTCGGCATTGCTGCTGCTTACGAGTGCTGTGCACTAATGAGAAGAATCGCTTCAACTTGAAAAGAAACAATCAAGTATTTCGAGGGCTTGAAGGCTCACTAGTGAGTTTCCCTACAGTACGTGTACAATAGTAATGGACAAGTAGAGAGTGGTATTCGGTTTGAGAACGAAGAAAAGAGAACAAATTCGATTTGGACATATTAGAAGTGTGAAAAGGCATTAATGGAATTATGTAAATGAATTGAAACAAAAATAAGAAACATATTGCAGCAGATGGGAGCATTGGGAGTATTTTATTTTATACAAGCACACAAATTTAGAATTGTAATCAATCGACTTGAAGGTATTCTTATTGAAATTAATCAAAGTAAACTATTTTCAGTATTACTGCTACTTTAATGAAAAACATATATTGCACAGAAACTCGCAATTTTAATGAGTATTTAGCTTACTTATAGGGAGAAGAAAAGATGGCATGTTTATAGAGAACTATTTATTTGTAGCTTCTCTTTATTACTGTGCTAGTTCAGCTATTTATTTTTTTGGTTTTTAATTTGTGATGCCTTTACGCTCTCAAGTGTATTTACATTAAAATTTCATGAAAAAAAAACAACTTATGCTACCCAAAAACGGATTGTTCCTGCGGCCTGAGAATTGCAAAGACCAGCTGGATGGATATAGTCGGAGCTGCGAAAGCTCAGACACGTATTGTTCTCGTGCGTTGATTCTAGATGATTGTAAGCAGTAGGAAGATGTCTGTCCTGTGTCGCTCTTATGTGCTGTAAATCAGTTGTCCAGGCCTTGCGGCTTTTCTTTAATGCCGGCAACTGGTCTTTTATTAGCTTTCGGCACGTCCATAGACCATCTTACGTCTAAAGATTGCCCAGCGGTTACGATGCTGATTGAATGCGCCGTCCGAGAGGTTCACTTTGGCCGATACGGTCGGAAAAGTCAGAGAACGGTTTCTGACTCGACGCAGGAGCTCAGCATCAGCCTTACGTTGCATCTCCACCTGGTCATCCGGTTCGTTGCGTCCGTAGACCACCTCCTGCATTGGAACATATCTCTTTCGCATATTCTCCTCGCTCGACTCTTCTTGAACACTTTCCGCCCTAGTTTCTTCTTTGGGTTCTGGCTCGGACCACATATAAACCTCCCTCTGCTGTCTCATATTTAATGGCCTCAGCTTCGGCTCCATGAAGGCAGGTGAAGGTCTAGTACTGCCTTCATTTTGCATCAGATTTGTCCTGCTCCCCCTGAACGGCTCTTCCAGACTGGTTCCTCTGAAGCGGGTCTCGGTTGCGCTGATGTTTCCTTTGATGGTTTCTTCCGAGTTTCCTTCAGTTGGGGCCACACGGAAGCTGGGGCCCTGTAGATGCGCTCGTACGGCAGCAAAGGCCTCCTCGCGCTTCGGCCACTCTTCCAAGTACCTGCGCTTAGGCGTAGCAGGCCGCATCCTCTCCTCATCATCCATGGCCAGTCTCCTAAAATTGGCGATCTGCATGTATCTGATGCCCCCCAGAAGGTGCGGCATCGCTAGAATTCCCTTGGTTTTAGACATCGACGACATGTTTTTGTTTTGGGAAACTGCAAAATTTTGAACTCTGAATTTCGGCTATTTTTTTTTACTTAAAAAATAAATAATAAAATAAAATATTTGTGGTTGTTTGTAGCTGACCTGAATTTTGAAACTGACTATACCTTAGGCTTGGGCTCTGACAAATGACTAACGCATTGAAATATTATTAAATGCTATCACGATTTGGCGCTATTTTCGTTTAGAATACCTCGCGAGTTCAATAGAAAGCATTGTAAGGCGAACAATCAAGAGTCTTTTGGTTCATTTACTACTATATATGTCTATTTATTTATTTCAGCAAATTTCAATCAAAATCTACTCTTCCAAATTCCTCAATAAATCGAAAACTAATAATGAATTGTGCCCTGCCTTTCCCAATTAATAATTGTCGAACGCTGTGTTGCTAAAGGACAACAAGAATTTAACGCAGTTTTGAGATAACAAAAAGCAGACAACTACAATAAAAACAATGACTAACAATTGAGTTAGTACACAATTACTACAATAAAACTACAGCAGTAACAATAACAAAAACAACAACAATTATGATAAAGCTGCACTTTACAAGCCACCCACCAACAATAAAATCAACAAGAAGGCCTCTAAAGTAAACCGAGCATTTACTTGAAGGAAAACGACGTCTGATTACTCTACGATGGCCAAGGCCAGCATAAGATTTCAAACTAAAAGCACAGAAGTATTGAAACTAAAGCTGCATTAGGCAATTGAAAATGTGTTGCAGCCTTAACAAGCAAATATCTGGAATACTATATGGTACGAATTTTTCTAGTGAGGATATGCCCTCCGTTTTAGCTTTTATTTGTTAGCCTATCGGATATTCAAACTACTTATAATGTGTTGCTTTAGCGTCTATTTTGCGAATGGGGGAAATAATTTAGTTAACAAATAAGTTACAAAAATATTTCTATTACTTGTGTCGTCCTTCTTTCCAACTGGCTCACAACCGTTTGGCCATTGAAGGGCTTCCACTTTTTATGGCATTGTATAGTATTTCATGCTGATAGTTGCATAAATTAAATCTTATGTATATATCTTTTTCTCGTGCGATTGTGGCTTCCCTGAAAAGCATTAAGTATTTCGTTTCTTTCATTCCTAAAGCTTTATCAAAGGCTTGATTGTATAAATTTATAAATTATACATTTATAACTGGTTAAAAATCGATCAAGTGCCTCTTTTGAGCCTATATTTAGGATTTAGAAACCAATGAAGTGCTATGCCAATGGAAAAGTATGAGACATTATCAAAAAAAAAAGAAAAAGAGGACTTCCAGAACACTATATGCAGTTTATAAATAATTTAGTATTTACTTTTTAAGGTTCAATAAAATCGGTAAAGTTTTAACATTTTGATTGATCAAAAACGCTTCTTAGAAACTCTATTGTCTAGTCCACCTATACAATATAGTATGTGGCAATGCTTTATTATAAAATTTGAATACTTTCTATTTTAGAAAAGTGTAGTCACACATTCAGAATTACTTTGCTGTCTTGCGTTAGAGAACTAGGTATTGAGCCTGCGGACTGAAGTGCGTTCGGATGTGATGTGCATGGTTGGAGGGAAATTCTCTGTGCTTTGTTTAAATATAGGCAAAACATGTCACAGCTTTTTAATTTAAATGCAAATTAAGGCTTTTGTCAACACTCGAAGGCTGGCAAGAACTAAGAAGTGGAAGACGCAGGGCAACGCACAAGGCGTTCGAGCAGCAAGTGCTTGTGGCAAGTGCATTGGAGCAGGAATCAAAATAGAGTTAGCAAGGACGAGATTGAGGCATATGCATGTCGAAGGAAATATGGCTTGCCAAACTTGGCTCTACTTCAATTTGTAATTCGTTTAGCGCACACAAACTCCACCACCCACATATCTCCACAGCCAATTGAGATGCGCTGTTATCCGCGTGTTCACACCAATGCCATAGCGTTGTCCACAGACGCGTCCATAGCTGATGACGCCAAGCAGGAAGAGTCGCTGCTGCTGCCGCAAAATTACTGGGCCTCCCGAGTCATACTGACACGAGTCCTGGCCCTGACCTCGTGAGTCGTAAGTGCATATTTGATTTGCAGCAATGCTGGCATTGTATCGTTGCTCGCACACCCGGTTCTCCATCGTAAGCAGTGTGGCCTTCTGCAGGGTATTCGATTTGGGCGCTGTAAATCCTAAAGTTCCCCAGCCAGCAATGTCCACGTTCTCGTAAGCGAATGTTTCGCCGCTACAGAAATAAATAGATTTAGGCACTGCCGACTAAAAAAGCGATTTCTCGACACCTACGATTGACGTGCAGGCAGACAGATAGGCCCAACACCACGCGACCAACGCATGGGCCTGGCGGTCTGTAGCAGAGCAATGTCATTGAGGTCCCCAGAGCTTGTTACCGTATAGGCCGGGTGGTTAATGATGCTACGTATGGGATACTGAGCGGCATAAATGGATTCACTATCTGCGAGGGAAATAAATTACATTATTACTCGAATATGATAATGGTAGCTAAGGAATGTTGAGAAATACTAACACATACAAAATTTATTTAGGACGCAATAATTTATAAAACTTCAGAATAGAGTGGGACATTATGTAAAAGAGAATATCGTTTTCCCACCAAGATAAGCGATGTGTCCACTGGCCAGAGTCATTTCTTCCCATGCAGGCTATAAACATAATTAAGCTATATATGGTTTTTAATAATCTTAATGTGTGTAAAAAAGGATAAAACAAGTCTACGTTCCTAGTCTGAGATATCTAGTTATTCTTATTCAGAAGTTCTCGATGTTCATACTAACAGACGGCTGAACGGACTGTCGGACAGACTCCCACTTGGTCGTCTTCAGGTATTATGCAATTCAATAACTTCGCTAATGAATGCTTTGGTAGGATTTTGTTAACTTACTGCTGCTTAGATCATGCTCGCCCACCAGGGCCATCAGTCGACTGGCCACTGGTTGTCTGGCAGTGCAATGTGCTGCAGTAATAATGTAGCGATCGCTCACAATATTGCCCCCACAGAGGACACGTTGATTGGAGGTGAGATCTCGTAGCGCCACCATCGAGGGATACTCGTGCTTGGCCGCCTCCACGCCGTTGGCTATGCGTGCAGGAAAGGACCAACCGCAATCGCAGGGTGCAGGACGGGTTGTGGCCTGACAACTGAGTCGCGCACGCTGCTGGGTATTCGAGTTGCTGGAATAATATGCCAGAGCCAGAGATTGGAAGTTGGAGAGGCGTGTAATCTGACCCATGCGGCAGTAGCGTTCGGCATCTCGGAATTGCATGTCACCATCGCGAGAGATAAACAGGGACTCTGTGCCACAATTGTCGGGATACTATGCGCCATGGAATAGAGAGTTAGAGAACATTTTCCAGTTTTGTTTTGGCTTAAGCAGCACCTACCACTTCGAAGCGGCAGCTGAGGTGTACAACGTGGTTTGGGGGCGCCACAAGGAGATAGCGACAGCTACTGCCTGGAGGATAGGCGCCGGGGTAATTGATGCTGCTAATATTCAGTCGCTGATTTATCTGTAGGTTGTATTGTCGGCTACATTGCTGAGCTCCGGCAATTGTGACGAGCACCAGAAACTGCGCCAGACTACACCGTAGACTAGACCGTGCAAACATGTCTTTGACTTGGCTACGAGTTAATGCACTGAAGCTAAAGCTGCAAATGCGCTCTATACTTATATAGTAAATGGCAGCTGATAAGGCGCGAGAATTTCATTGCATAAGAGCCATAACTCTTAAGATCAGAGCAAATATCAGACAAAACAAATGGGGTTTTAAAGTCAATGTCAGTGTGCGAAGGCAATTCATAACTCATGGAATGCAACTAAAGGCGTCGCCTTTTGGTTTTTTCTCAAATACGACCCGTGTCGTGTATAGCTGTAGATTTATAGATAGATTTATTTAAAAAAAATAACAGAATCTGGATATCAAGTTTGGTAAATTCTAGCTCTTTGTACCTCGCGTCCATTTGAATTCCAATTAAGTACTATATTTTGAGCGTGCGCATTATTTTTTACCGATCGAACTTTATTAAAGAGCTTAATCTTGAAGTTTCATCTGAGTAACAAGTGAGTGTTGTAATATTTAGATTGATTAGGGATAAGTCAAGTACAAGTACAAAATAGGTATTATTTCAAGTTTATTTCGCTTTCAATTCGTTTAATGTTGTATCATATGAGTAGTTCATTAATTGATTAATATATTTTACACTTGTGTTAAGAACATTAAACCTTGATATATTATCGTAAAACAAACCTATTTACTAAAAATAGTCCTTTGGAAAACTTAAGCTTATCGTGGTATAAGAATTGGTGGATTTCATTGTCTCTATTCAGCCTTCGATTACAGACACTTTAGCATTCCTTGAACGCCAACGATATCTTCGTGACACTCTCTTATAACATATTCCTGCCACATATTCTCTGACAGGTCGAAGATTGTCAAATATACAAAAACCAAAATGAATATATCCGTTCGTGCACAACAGGCTTCCCTTTAACTCATTAGATTATCCAAAAATGGTTGACGCAACATTAAACTGTTGTCGTTTTCTTTTTAGCTTTTATTGTATTTAATGGAATATAAAACTTCGGATTTGCATGAAAAGCGGATGCATCGATATTAAACTTTTCAAATAGATTAAAGCATTGATTTAAGCCTTTTGTAATATATTATTGATATTCTGATATCTGATAAGTTTGTTCTAGTACTAGTGTGGTTTCCAAAAATCTTTTCATGCATTGACAGCCTTATTTGTGGACCCCTTTGAATAACGATCAGAAAGCATTTTTAATGATTTTTGCATATCGGCCATACTTGTATATAGAAGTATTTACACTGTACAGATATGGTAAGACCGTTCATGGCTCTCATTCTGCGACTCATCAATTATATATATTTAACATAACAATAGTAACCCAATTGGCAAGACTCCTTCTTATGCTTTTATTCACATTGAGACCACACAGTTGGAGTTGCCGATTTTGTTCCGTATCCAAGGTACATAGCTGGTAATGCGGGTGTTGACACCCATGGGATAAGAGCCAGCTGCGCAATCCTTGCCAAAACTGATCACGCCCGCCAGGTAATGGCGGGGCTGTTTAAAGATTACTGGGCCACCCGAATCGTACTGACAGGAGTCTCTTGCATTGCCAGAAACGTCGTATGTGCATATTTGACCCGAATTTATGGTAGCGATTCCATTGTATTCTGTCTGGCAAACCTGGTTGTCCACCACCATGAGGGTGATCTTCTGCAGAGTGGCTGAGGTGGGACCGGCAAAGAATAAGGTGCCCCAGCCAATCACATCTACGTTGCTGTAGGTGAAATCGTTGGTGCTACGAGTGCGAAAGAGTGTTAATATCTCTGTTATCTCTGTTTGGTTGGTTCGACTTACGTTCCTGTTGGAGGCAAGCAAACGGGTCCACTACCGCGCGTCCACTTTATAGTGGTGGACGTAATCAAAACTGCTATATCATTGACTACCTCTGGGTCGTTTTGGTATTGCTCATGCCTCAATATTTGCATAATATTATATTGCGCATAATATCTAGAGCTGGATGCTGTGACAGAAATAATTTCTTGCTTGATTAGTCAAATACGGGTATTGATCTATATAAAATGCCGGCACTTACGGTTTTGTAAATTGTTTGTGCCTACAATGGCTATAACGTCGGAGGGCTGAGCGATTTGTAGAACGCAATGGGCAGCGGAGACAATATGTCGATGGGAAACTGTAATAACACAAGAAAGAACGCTACAGTCGAGCAAGCCCGACAGTAAAATACCCTGTACTCTCCACAAAAAAAGAAAATTAAAAAAAAGACATAAAAAGAATTGAATTATTTAAAACAAATTGAATTAACTAATTAAATTAATAAAGAAAATTGATTGAATACATACATCGAAGACATGTTTATGTAGAGTTTTACATTTATATCATGTGCCTATGTGTATTTAAATGCGTATATGTATGCAGCACAAAGTTGAACCAAAACAGCAACAACAACAGCTGCGGGCAGCGCTACAAGCCGAGCAGGGGCAGCGATTTTATTTATGGCTATTCCTTTCTTCAGAATTGAGCTATCATGATGATATGTTGGCATACGGACACATAAGCGCTAACTGGACGTAACTACCAAATTTGATTTCAAAATTCCAAGAATTACGGGAGCTATATAAAATCGCGAATAGCGGGGGAGTGGGGGGTGCATCGTAAAAAAGGAACAAACTCGTCCTTTCTCGGGCTCAGAAGAATGTGAATACCAAATATGGTTATTCTAGCTCTTGTACTTTCTGAGATCCTTGCGTTCATACAGACGGACAGACAGACGGACATGGTTATATCGACTCGGCTTGTCTGTCTGTTACATACACTCGCACAAAACTAGTATACCCTTTCACCCTTTGGGTACAGGGTATACAAAAAACAAAAAATCATATTATGTGGATGTCACAGCCCAGAGTCGATGTAACATTTTAGAATACGATGTATTATATATATATTTTAGCGTGGTTTCCTTTTTGTACTTAGTTTGTCATGATCCTTCAACTTTCAAAAATGTAATTATTGAGGTGCACTTTTGGTGATTTCGTCTAATGGCTCATAATATAGACACCATACCTTGCCACGCTTTTGCATGGGCTAGCTCTACACCTTTGAAATAATGTTTTCTACGATTATATGATTGCTATCCTCACTTACCTATGACCCCACCACAGAACGAAGGCTGATTGCTTTGTCTGTTCTTCAGGGCTACCATGCTGGGGAATTCGTTGATTGAGGCCTGCTGTCCATTAGCAATGCGCATATTGATTGACCAACCACAGCTGCAGGGCTGAGGCTGGACATCTAGGGTGCACTTGAAGTTACCCGAACTATAGCTGTCCGAAATGTAGGCCAAGACAAGTTCGGTAAATAGCGACTCCCGTGAAAAGGAGCCAGTGCCGCAAAAATTCTCCGAGCCCCGCATCAGCAAATCCCCCTCGTTGTCCAGATAGAAATTGTCTGTTGAGCACTGTCCGTTTGTCTGTATAAAGATCATGACTTAAGTAATCAGCTCCAGTAAATGGTTTACCGTCCACCACGACCATCACCTACTGAGGGCAAGTTCACATTGCATTGTATTTTGATGTAGTAGTCCAAGGGCGCCACAAACTTGTAGCGGCAGGAGGTGCCCGCTGGATAATTATTGGGGTAGTAGGGCGACTCTACATAGGAGAGGCCGGGCTGTAGTTGATAAGTATTGTCACAGCCCGCGAAGTAGGCACTCGCAGTGAGCTGCACGAGCAGCACTACCAGCCCGCAGAGCGTTATCAGATAATTTGAAGACATTACTTTTAGCACGACCGCCCGATTGAAATGCGAACTCTAGACTGCGCGTATTTTCACTTGCGCCCCAAGCGTAATACAAACTAGAGGCGAGTAAAGAATCCAATTTGCTTCATAATACAATAAAATAAAATGAGCGCCCCGCAAAATGAAAACAGTTGATAAAACATGGTTAGACAAATAGGCGTACCTGCAGCTTATACGCGTGCTGCTTGCCGTCGCGTATACGCCGCTTTGGTTCAATACTATTTAAACGATTTCCCACTTCAATGACAATGACGACAAAAACCTGCATGCCATTCGTCACTGCAGTTGTGCAAATATATAGTAAAAGCCTCAAATGCCGAGCAACTGATGACCTCCGGAGCTCTCGTTTTTGAACTTGGCCGTTTTGAATAACAACAACAGCAGCAGCAATAACATCGTGTTGGTACATCTATCACTGCGAAAAACAAATTTTCCATATTTTAAAATGTTCTCTTAAGAGGAAATATTTTATTTAAATTGAGAAATCTTTCTCACATTCCTGGACACGACGGAAACATCTGCGATCACATAAAGTATTTTCATTTCTTCCTGCTTTTCTTCTTCATTTTTTTGCTTCTGCGGAATTTTTTTTTGGGTAGAGGGTGTTTACTTGTAGGGTTTGCTCGTTTCGCCTTGAAATTCAGAAACGAACAATGCATGATTATTCTTCGAGTTATTTATAATAATCTATTGCGATTGTGTGTTTTAAACTAGATTTCTAACCAAGGTGAGAAATATATTTGATTATTTCTGAATATTCTAGTTGAAAAAAAATATTGTGGAGTGATTCAAACCCACAACAGAGCTAATGCGGGTAACAACTGATTCGTTAAAAACAACTAAATAAAGAACAGAAATTTTTATAAACGAACGAAAATAAAATACGGCTTTATACATCTTTTCGAATATTACTTTCCAAAATCCAATAATTAGTGAATAGGGAGTAGGGACTGAAACATCTTTCTCTGTTAATGCATTTATCTTAATACATAGCTAAAAGCTATTAAAGTTTCAAAAATTAAAAAATCATATCAATTGGTGTTGTGAAATAATAAGAAGAATAATTTAACCAAACCATGATATCGATGTTTTTTTTTTTCCCATAAACGATTGGGAACCAATTCGATAGTTGGATTCCCCGAAAAAAATTGTCTCAAGAGTAAAACTAGTTGCGTTTATTTGAAATTCAAGTGGAATTATCTAATTACCGCATAGTTTTTTCCGTGTGTATTTAAATGAAATCCATGTGATAAGAAATGTTTTTATTTTTAAACGCTGCCTGCACAATGTTTGGTTAAAGCTTAGTCTGCGGGAGGGTGCTGCACCCGGTACGAGTATACGTCGACAGCTGCTGTTAAAGCAAATAAATTATCAACTTTGTGGGTCACGGTATTTTTCCTTAGATTTTGCTGGATTAGTTAGAAATTATATTTGGCTCGTATTACCAACTTTTTACAGTTCCTCTTTGCTTGATAAGCTCGCGTGAAAAGACAAATAAACATTTTAAATAAAGAGTCTTAATTAAAAGCTAATTACACATATTATTCGTATACAATATGAGTAAGAAAATGTCAACAGAATGAGCTGTTTAAATAAGTAGATAGGCAAGTATTACCAACAGGCGCTCATTTAAAAAGAATATAACGCGAGAACTCAGTATTAAAGAAATAAAAGCTATATGTGAAGAAGAAAGGAAGTATTGCAAAAGATTTATATATTCTTATACTATCCAAGTGTCTGATAAGATGCTAGCCATATAAAAACCACTTTCATGACATTTAAACTTTTTGTGAAATAAATTAGGCTGTCAAAAGAAACTGAGAATAAGGGGAAAGTTGCAAAATACAATCAGTAAAGAATTTACAGAGAAGAACCAACAAATTGATTGAAAAAATGTGAACAAAAATATCTATCAGACAATTGACAAACATATGTTTATGAATCGAAATCAAAATTATGAATGTTTCACGTTTTCTAACATTTTGTGTGATTTGTCATTTCAAATAACTTTTGAGCATTATTCTTGTCGTGGATCGCTATTAATTTTTGTTAATTTTTTTGAATGTTTATTGCTCTTTCGGAGAATTTGAGACAGAAAAAAACTAGTATCTATGTGCACTGTGAAATGATGACTACAAGTATGTTTACCATTTACTTTATTTATTTACGATTTGAACCCTTTCCTGATCATGTAAGGCACCTTCTATCATATGATCCCCTTCATTGTAATCCTATGAAGGAACATATGATCTGCTTACAATCTTGGTGCTTGGCTAATCAACTCAATTGCTTTAAATGGAGGTTCCCGACATAAATCGACAGTCGAATATTTTGGGATACTTTTTGATTCCAAATTGATGCTTACTTTTTCCACTTCGTGGTTTAAGCTGGGATCCCGACCTCGGCTTGCCATCGTATTCTACGTCCGTCATCAGAAATCTGTAGAACTACCCTTTGTGTAATGGTTTTTCAAAAACATATATTCAGGGACACAGATAAATGAAAATAATATTTAATATATTTATGCATAAATTCGCTAGGCCGATGTGTTCGAGCTAAATAAAAGCTGCATTCATTAAGCAGAATAGGTACAAAATATTAAGCTTATGATTAATTTTTCAGACTTGCTTTCATAGTTTCTGTACTTTGTGGAAAAGTTGTCGAGTTCAACCCTTTCAATATTTTCGTAAAAACTGAACTGATGCACAAGTTTGTGTTTGTATTTAATTAACTTTTTACGTATGCAAATATTCCTACCTATGAATATAGACACAAGCCTGCATTAAGCGGGGAGAAATTCGAAAAAACTAAAAATATGTTGAAAATACAATGTATAATTCGCAAACGTTTGCAGAGACAGCTATCGATTGAATAAAAGGGAACAAAATGAGATGAAAGCCATCAAAGATTTAAATTTTATTATATGCAAAACATATGGCAATTACAGCACAAAAATGGCAACCATTCACATATGTACCTATGTATGTATAGGTATAATACCTAAATACTATATGTGCGCCAAAATGTTGCAAAAAAGAGGGAGAAAAGAACAGCAAATTGAGCCTTAACTTTTTGCAATTTGTTGACTTAGTTGACTTTATGCAAAACTCATATGACAGTAACTCCGCAGACACACACACACACACACATACCCACTGAAATCAAACAAAGCAGGGCCTAAAAGCATGCTGTAGTTTGGATTCTGGCATCAGGGTTGCCCCAACACCGACTGCGGTTTGACGAGCGTGCGCTGTAATTATAATATGATTTTTTGTCACAACATTTTGTACAGTTTTTAAAACGTGTCATAGTTGTTGCCATATAACACGCTGTATGTGTCTATATGTCTATATTTTCTAGTGGCGTTTTTTGCACGCAGGTTTTTGTCGCTTTTGCTGTTCTGTTTGTTTTTTTTTTCTGTAGCTCGCCATTTGCATTTTCCACTAATTTGACTTTTGTATTGTTGTGGTTTTTGCAACGGCGACTCGACCCGACCCCCTTTCCACTCACATGCATTTGTGTACGCTTGTGTGTGTATGTGTGTAAGCCGAGTCTATGCATGTATTGCAGTTTTTCTCGTCTTATTTGCTTCCCACCAATCAGCTCAACGCATTTTGCAGTCGTGTGCGAGCGCAGTGCAGGCAGTATGGTGTGGTAGGTGTGTGCGAATGCCTGTGTGTGTGTGTGTGTGTGTGTGTGTGTAGGGAGACTATGGCATGGGCATTACGCACTTTTTGACTTTCGTTGGGGAAATGTTTGTTTGGTTGGTTGGTTAGCTGCGTTACTCTGGGTAGGGCATGTAGAGATGTATGTACATACATATATATGTGCGGGTTGTATTCCCTATTCTGTATATATGTATCGGTTTGTGGTATGCATGTGCGTCTCTGGTGGCATGCTTGCTATTTGATGTGCTCTGACTGCTGAGGCCATATCATTAATTGCCGCTAGCTATAGCACTGAGCATAAAAAGTGGAACACAAATTAGTGGAGCCACAATCTTTCAGTTCCAGAACCGCAAAAAAACCTCGGGAGTGGAAAACCATATTGTTAATATTTCCATGGCAAATTGTTGATAATATCAATATTTTAATTTTAATTTATTGGTATAAGGAAATTAAATAAAAATGATTGGTATATGCAAATTAAATAAAAAGGGCACTATATTGCCATTATGTATTTGGTTGTTGACAAGTAAGGTAATATGGTATTAGGGGTAAAATTTAGTTTAGATTTCTGAATTGTATTGTACACCTAATTCTGTTTTTACACGGTGGATTGGTTCCAGAAACAACCGTGTAAAAAAGACATTGATCATATCAAAAAGTAGGTGATTGGTTCCTTATCTAAAAAAATATATATGAATTTCTTTATTTTCAAACCGTGTTATGTCAAAATCGTGTAAAAAAGACCGTGTAAAAAAAGAATTAGGCGTATTTTGGGTTACACTGTATCTTTTACTTTTTGTTGGCACTTAAGCACTTACTCAAAAACATGCAATCTTATTCAACTAGTTCTTACAATTATAAGTACATACTATATGTATAAGTGTTCGTCTATGAATATATGGTTATGCAACTAATATTTATATGCGAACTATAACAATATTAGGCACAACGGCTTTAAGGTAATTTAAAAATATGAAAACCATCTATGCCCATGCTTTTTCATGTTATCCGAAATATGTAAATTTTTTTATGTTTTACTCACATTTACAAAGCACATTCAATTTTCCGTGCCTTCAATCACAACAAATCCATACAAATTTCTGTCCTCCTCCTTTTTTTGTGCACTCAGGCCCATTCATGCCCAAACGTACAGTAATAAAAACTTTCAAATGCGAGCTAAGCAAATTTTAATTAATGAAAAATTGCAATTAAAATTGTTAGCTCTATCTCTCTTTGATTCAAGTTCATATGCTGTACATACTCGTTCGTATATACATATGTACATACATATGTCTGTATATATTTGCATATACACATA